AAGAGGTGTACGTACACCTCAGCAGGGCTGTTTCGTGCTGCAGCTTCTGAGGTGTACGTACACCTCAGGCTAGCTAGCCTCCGAGACACAGCTGGAGCCAACGAAAGCCTCGATAGAGTTATAAAAATTCATTTATTTATTTATTTATTTATTATTTATTATTTATTTATTTGTTTTTAAATTAATTTCGAAATTTAGGGGCCTGCATGCACTTTTCGTTCGCCCGCGAGCTGTACATACACCCGAGAGGCGAAGACACCGCGCGGGCCATTCGCGGAAATTCAGAAAAATGGAAATAAAAGAAAATTTAAATAAATTAAAATGAATTAAATAAATATAAATAAATATATTTAAATACAATTTAAATACTTTTATACAAATCTGTTTCAATATGTTTAAATGGAGGAAATTATTTTTAGTTTATATAATATATATAAACTAAAAGTAATGTGCATAATATATATAATATATAGACAATATATATATTTATATGTAATATATATTTAATATATATATTATATCTACAAACTGCATTATAAATATAAATATAAATAAACATAATAAAATATAAATATAAATAAATATAATAAAATCTGGAAGAATGCAGAAAAATAAGTTTGAAAACACAACTGGTGTACATACACCCCAGCTCTGTAAATGGAAAAGGAGAAAAAGCATTTGCAGCACTATTACAAACAAAGCAAGAACTGCTCAAATATATTTGTTTATTATTTATTATTTATTTATTATTTATTATTAATTAATTTATTTATTTATTTATTTATAATTGTTTCTTCAGCAGCAAAAGAGCGCGAGCTGTACGTACACCTGAGGGCTGCTCAGCAGCAAAGAGAGCAGCAGCAAAAATTAATAAATGAAATTCAGCAGCAAAAGAAAACAACCAAAGAAGCAAAACTTATCAAATGGTTTTTCAGGCAAAGGGAATGCAGCAGGCAAGGCGCAGCAGCAGCAGCAGCAGCAGCAGCAGCAGCAGACGCTGCTGCTGCTGCTTCGCTGTGCACGCCCCCCCTCAAACGAGGAATCCACCTGCGCAGCTAATGCCGCGAAGCTGCTGCTGCTTTCGCTGCTGCTTTTGCTGCTGCTGCTGCTGCTGCTGCTGTTAGTGCGCAGTGGGCAAAGGCTTCTTCCTGGTTGTCAGTGCTGCTGCTGCCAGCAGCAGCAGCAGCAGCAGCAGCAGCGCCAACCAAAAGTGAAATTAAGGCCTCACGTGCGCCTCAGGTGTACCTACACCTCAGCTTTGCTGCTTTCCTTTCTGCCTGTCTACAGACTCGCGATTCAAAAGCCTACGCAGTAAGCCCTGCTGCTGCTGCTGCTGCTGCTGCTGCTGCTGCTGCAGGAGCGTCAAGTCCCTCCAGCAGCAGACCAAAGACCAATGGCCCACTTGAAGCGGATGGCAGCAGCAGCTGCTGCTGCTGCTGCGCTGCTGCTGCAGTTGCCAGGCTCTGGGTCGACGGGGAAGGTGCTGCAGCAGCAAAAGAGAAGCCATTTGCTGCTCCCCTTTGCTGCTGCTGCTGCTGCTGCTGTGGGGCTGCAAGGGAGGGTTTAGGGTTTAGGAGTGTCTTGCTGCGCTCTCGACAGCAGAGCCTCAGGCCCTTAAAGTGAGCTTCGGGGTTTAAGACCCAGCAGTGTTGGGCTTAGGGTTTAGGGTTTAGGGTTTAGGGTTTAGGGTTTACCGCTCGGAGTGCGCAGTGTAAATTAAAGGCAGCTGGGGGTGGAAAAACGCAGCAGCAATTGGCGCGCTGGAGACCGAGCCTTTGCTGCTGCTGCTGCTGCTGCTGCTGCTCAGGCCCAGCGCCTCTGCTGCCGGCCACGAGAGGCTGCTGTCGCTGCTGCTGCTGCTGCTGCCAGCAGCAGCAGCATCAGCAGCAGCAGCAGCAAAGCGCAGCTGCTCCTCCCCGTTAGCGAGACTGAAGAAGCTCAAAGAGCCGTCGAAGTTCCCTGCAAGCAGCAAACAGACAAGCTGACACCAGCTAGCTGGCCAGCTAGCTAGCCATGTATGTGGCTAGCTAGCTAGCTACGTATGTGGCTAGCTAGCTAGCTATTAGATTAGCTAGCTAGCTAGCTAGCTGCTCTCAGCCTCGACAGCACGCTGAAGCGCTCTTTACTTTCGCTGCGCTCCCTCCCCTTGCAGGGCCTGCTGCTGCTGCCAGGCAGCAGCAGCAGCAGCAGCAGCAGCAGCAGCAGCAGCAGCAGCAGCAGCACCTGTGACAAGCGTTTGCTGCTTCACGTCGAAAAAGGTCTTGCTGGGGCTGCATGCGCTGCTCCTCTCCAAACGAAAGAGGGGGGCCCCCGGGGCCCTCAAGTCCCAGCAGCGAATGAGGGGGTCTTGGCGGTGGCCGCTCAGCAGCAAACTGCCTTCTGCAAACAGCAGCTGCAGCAGCAGCAGCAGCAGCAGCAGCAGCAGCAGCAGCAGCAGCAGGGGTGGCGTCGCGCACGCGAAGGCAAAGGGACGCACGGCGCCCGCCCCCGCCGCAGCAAC